AGCTTCCCTCTCCCGGGTTCAAGTGATTCTCCTGCTTCATCCTCCTGAATGACTGGGATTGCAGGTGTGTGCCACCATGCCTGGTTAACTTTTGTATTTCTTTTAGTAGAGATGGGGTTTCGCCCTGTTGGCCAAACTGGTCTCGAACTCCTGGCCTCAAGCGATCCACCCGCCCAGCCTCCTAAAGTGCAGGGATTATAGGTGTGAGCCACTGCGCTCGGTCTGTACGATGCTAATTATATAGCCATCAATGATAGTGAGTAACATTTCATTGTATGATTGAATAAAGACTGGCACAATCTCATATATAACGTGAATCAGAAAAAATCAAGACTGCCAAACCATATGTAGAGTAAGGTACTAATTATGTTAAACTTGTGCATGTAGGTAGGAAAGAAAATGGAAGGAAATCAACCAATATGCAAATGGGAGTTAGAAAATACTATTTTGCATCTCCTTGAACTCCCAACCTCAGGTGATCTGCCCGCCTGGGCCTCCACAGTGCTTGGGTTACAGGCATGAGCCACCACGCCCCTTTGCATTTTCTAAATGTTCTGTCATGAACCTATTACTCTTAAAATTAGAGAATAGATTTTAGGGAAAGGACCACCTGCCACTATGGAAATAAAGCACACGTCCCGACAACAGCTGAGAGTTCAGGGGTAGCTCGTTGTCAAAGCCCAGGCCCCTGGGAGAGGCACAGCCATCCCTGGCTTTTCCCTTCCTCCTGGGCTCCCTCCTAGGATGGCTCTCCAGAGCCACAGGCGCTGCTGCAGAGTGGGAGATCTCCTGTAGAGACTGGGCTGGAGGAGCTCAGTTACAGGCTTGCTCTCACCTTACTCAGGCAGGTGACCCTGGTAAGCACTTCTCACGCTCCCCCAGCGTTCCTGGGGCACCTCTGGCTAGAACTGGAGCCAGCCCTGCTTCCTCCTGTAACCCGAGGCGAGGATGCCAGCCCTTCTCACTCCACTCCAGGCTTCATCCCCAGAGAGGTGGGCTCCTTTCCATTTGGCCCCTGGGAGGCCCTCAGCTTGAGTTGAAGCTGCTTTCCTCCCAGCCCCTCCGCCCCCCTCAGCATCATCTTTTGGAGGCTTCTAAGGAGCAGGCAGAGTTGCAAACTGTGCACCAGAGGTAGCCTCCCTCCCCTGAGCCAGGCTCTTTCCCTGCCCTTTTTCTATCTGGGCTTCCATGGGTCCTGGACCTCTAAGGGACTTCCATCTGTCCCCACCCTTCCCTCCGGCCTGTGGTCGTGGGGCCAGGCTTCCCTGCATCCTGCTCCTCTCTGGGTCTTAGGCTCCTAGCTCTGATGTGTGCATGGGGGCTGGCTTTTCTTTTCTTTTTTTTTTTTTTGAGATGGAGTTTCGCTCTTGTTGCCCAGGCTGGAGTGCAATGGCATGATCTTGGCTCACCACAACTTCTGCCTCCCAGGTTCAAGTGATTCTCCTGCCTCAGCATCCTCAGTAGCTGGGATTATAGGCAGGCACCACCACGCCTGGCTAGTTTTTCGTATTTTTAGTAGAGAC